AGTATTGCAACCAAAAGCTTATTTGCTATTAAGGGACTCAAAGTTTCAGAGGCTTGGATTTGTTCAATTGGTACAATACAGGTTATTTGCATATGGTAAAGAAATGCAAAGTTCATTACCTAATGAGAACAGGCTAGGTTGTTTGGATCCATGGTCCCACTTATAAACAACAAATTGTAGATTTTTTAAAACTCACCTTAAACGTATTTGAAAAGCAGCAAAGATGGTCAAGGAACTTCCAGGTTACATTTGGGGAAAGCCTGGCCCAGGGAGGTAAGTAGATTATCAGAGCACTAAAACCAATTTTGCCTTTAAGACATTTGCTGAGACACAAATGGCCTTTTGGGTCATCAACTCAAAGAGCAAGGGGAATGGAAGTCATGGCCTAAAGTGTGTAAAAGTTTGAAGTCTTAGAGAAGTTGCTCCATGCTTATATAGTGACTACAAAGGACTATACCACTAGAACCTGATCCCTGTCCTCCAAACCCCAGCATACTGTAGGAAAAGCTGTTTTGGCAGTGAAAAGACTAGAAAATTAAAAGGAAAAAGGAAGGAAAACACATCCCTGAGAAGTGCTACCCACTAGCCCACTTGCATTTGACATCCTGGTATACCTAGTTTGGGTATGCCAAGGAATCTCAAACATCAAATTTGGTTTAGGTAATGCTGCCCTGAAACATAGCAGAAGCAAATATAAAGTTTCTCCGGAAGAGGGCCATATTTACCTTAACCCCAGAAAATCAGTCTCCTATAAATAATTTTCATGGGCAGCAACCACTGTCAGAAGTTAACCAGTGACACACAAAGAAACAAGGCCGAGAAGATGGGGAAAATTTTAAAAACAGGTAGCAGAAATAAATTGACATAGCCGATTGACATAGTTTTCAGACACAGATAATGAAACAAATATACTTAACTGTGTTCAATTAAATAATCACACTTGAATAATAATTGCAGAGAACAGTAAATGTAAAAAGTAAGATAGTAGATTTGAGAAAAAAATCCAAATAGGACTTCTAGGGGGAAAAATGATCCAAATAAAATCTCAGTGAACATTTTGGCATCAGATTGGACTTAGCTGAAGAAAGGATTGGGAAATAAGAAGATAAAGTAGAAGAAATTACTTCAGTATTACAGAGAGACACAAAATGGTGGAGACTACACAGTGGAGAAGAGGAGACAGGTGTGAAAGATACGCGTGTAGGTTTGGCAGAAGTCCTAAAAAGAGAAGAGAAAATGGCTAAGAATTTTCCAGAATTGTTGAAAGATACCAGTCCACTAGAGTTCAGCAAATCCCAAACAGGAATAATAAAAAGATACAGACCTAGGTACATTGTAGAGAAAATTCAGAAAAATTTTTAAATGACAGATTACCTTCAAAAGAGTATCTGACTTTTAAACATCAGAAGCCAGTGGGATGATATCCGTAGTGTGCTGAAATAAAATAACTGCCAATCTAGATTTCTGCACAGTGAAAAATAACTTTCAAGAATGAAGGTAAAATAGACATTTCGACACAAAAAGAAGGGGAAAAAGGAAACAGAATTTATCATCAGCAAATCTCATTTAAGAAAATTCATAATGATGGACTTAAGGCAGAAGTAAAGTGAGCACAGATGGGAGGTTTCATATACAAGAAAGAATGAAGAGAAGAGGTAAAGGTAAATATACAAACATGTATATAATGTCTGTGGGGATTAGTTAGAACAAAGAAGAAAAATATCAGACAATAATAATTTGTAAATTGCCAGGTAGGACTGGATAGGAAATGGAGTTAAAGCTTCTGAGATCCTTGTGTACGGAAGGAAGTAAAGGTTTTAACTTTAGACTTTGATAAGTCTATTTCTAATTTCTAAGGTAACCAATAAAAACAAATAAGAAAATATTGCATAATTTCCAAACTGATAGAAAGTGGAAAATGGAATGACTATTACCACTGTGTTCAACAACTGATTCTAAAATGTATATAGAAATGTAAAAGGCTGGCTGGGCACGGTGACTCACGTCTAATCCTAGCACTCTGGGAAGCCCAGGTGGGCGGATTGCTTGAGGTCAGGAGTTTGAAACCAGCCTGAGCAAGAGCGAGACCCCGTCTCTACTATAAATAGAAAGAAATTAATTGGCCAACTAATATATATAGAAAAAATTAGCTGGGCATGGTGGCGCATGCCTGTAGTCCCAGCTACTTGGGAGGCTGAGGCAGAAGGATTGCTTGAGCCCAGGAGTTTGAGGCTGCTGTGAGCTAGGCTGACGCCACAGCACTCACTCTAGCCTGGGCAACAAAGCGAGACTCTGTCTCAAAAAAAAAAGAAATGTAAAAGGCCAAGAATAGTCAGAATGTTCAGGAAACAAATGAACAAGGTAAGAGAACTTTCTCTGCTTGGTATCAAGATTTATTATAAACTTATGATAGGCCAGGCGTGGTGGCTCATGCCTGTAATCCTAGCACTCTGGGAGGTTGAGGCGGGTGGATTGTTTGAGCTCAGGAGTTCAAGACCACCCTGAGCAAGAGTGGGACCCCCATCTCTACTAAAAATAGAAAGAAATTAGTCAAACAACTAAAATTATATAGAAAAAATTAGCTGGGCATGGTGGCACATGCCTGTAGTCCCAGGTACTCAAGAGGCTGAGGCAGAAGGAGGATTGCTTGAGCCCAGGAGCTTGAGGTTTCAGTGAGCTAGGCTGACGCCACGGCACTGTAGCCTGGGCAACAGAGTGAGACTCTGTCTCAAAAAACAAAAAAACAAAACAAAAAAAACTTGTGGTAAATAGAGATTGGCATTAACACAAGGACAGACAAGCAAATGGAACTAATAGAGAACCTGGAAAGAGACCCATGCACCTATGTACACTGAATCTATGAAAGCGGTGGCACTGCAAAACAGAAAAAGACAGACTTTTCAGTACGTATGTTTGGTCACAAAATTAACTGCAGATAGATTAAAGAAAAGTCCTGAACTTCAAAGGCATACAGGTTTTTTATAAGATAACTGGAGAAAAAGATTTTTAAAAACAAGACCAAAAAGCGTAGCAACAGAGAAGAAGGTTAATAATTATAAAAACATTATAAACACACGCCATGGAAGGGGAAAGGTATTTATAATGTCTATCACTGACAAAAAGGGCTTGTATTAGAAATATGAAAAAAAAAAAAAAAGACAGCTTTGCTCTGTTGCCCAGCCTGGAGTGCAGTGGGGCACGATCATAGATCACTGCAGCCTCCAACTTGTGGGTTCAAGCCATCCTCCTTCCTCAGCCTCCCCAGTAGCTGGGACAATAGGCACATGCCACCATGCCTACCTCTGAAAAGAACTCTTATAGTTAATAGGCAGACAACTCAATAAGGAGATTTGCATGGGCATTTCACAGAGGGAGGTTTAGTAAATATATGAAATGATACTCACTAATCACCTCGTTAGGGAAATGAAACACAAAGCACAATGAAATATTACTATACCCACCAGATCAGCAGTCCAACTATACCATTGTTATAATCCAACAATACCAAGTGTCGATGAGGGTGTGGAGGAACACAACTCTCACACACTGCTAGAGTCTGATAGCAATGTAAATTTAGCGCACTTTAGAAGAGATTGGCATTTTCTAATAAAGTTGAAAATACACATATTCAATGACCTAGCAATTTGAATTTGTAAGTGTATGATAGAGAAAAAGCATGCTCATGTGCATTTCCTGTTTCCTGTATAAAATATTCACAGCACTGTTGTTCTTAATAGCCTGAACTGTCCATCGAGAGTAAAATGGATAGATTTGGGATGTTTTACAACAATGAAAATTAACTTCAGTTACATATAAGAACAAAGACGAGCTCACAGTATTGAAGGAAAGAAGCAGGACACAAGAATACATACAGTATGGCTCAGTTTATATAAACTTTACAACCAGACAACACTAAAATATAGTGTTTATGACGAACATTGGCAAACTTTGCCTTAAAGACCAGATAGTAAATATTTTAGACTTTACTTCCACATAGTCTCTGTTACAACCACAGCTCCTTGACTCTGCCACTCTAGTGCAAAATCAACCCTTGGATAGCCAAGGCTGTGTTCTAGCAAGAACCAACCCCAAGTTTATGGGTACATGTATTTGAGATAAAATAACTTTTTAAAGAAAAGGGATGGGAGGAAGGAAATGTTAACCATAGAAGATCAGCTTTTGTTTGTTTTTTGGAGACAGGGTCTAACTTTATTGCCCAGACATGAGGGCAGTGGTATGATCAAAGAAGCTCACTGCAACCTCAAATTCCTGGGTGCAAGTGATCCTCCTGCCTCAGCCTCCCAAGTAGCTGAGAATATAAGCGTGTGCCACCACACCCATCTAATATTTTAAATTTTTGTAGGAGATAGGGTCTCGGTGTCTTGCTCAGGCTGGTCTTGAACTTCTGACCTGAGATGATCCTCCTGCCCCAGCCTGCCAAAGTGCTAGCATTGCAGACATGAGCCACCATGCCCGGCCTAAGACAGGCTTTTAGAAGGGGAAGAGGATTACAATTGGGGTAAATGGGGACTTCTAGGATGCTGGCAGTACTTTTGTGTGGCTCATTGGAGGTTGCCTAGGTGTTCACTTTACCTTTTAAATTCTGTGTAAAAATTGTACAATAAGTAAATTGTATGTCACAATAAAATAAGTTTTAAAAACTAAAAATGTCAGTGCTTCCTTAAATGGTTGTTAATTATTAATGTATATTTTTTTAGTTTGCATTTGAATTGCTCTGCTTGTTTTCTGAAATTTTTGTCAAAGAAATATTCCTAAAAGAATTTAAATAGTAATGTAAGGCTATTGTCTTAACGTCTGACTTATTTTTAAATCATATAAACATTTAAATAAAAACAAAATATAGAACACTACTATTTTTGATTGGTAATTCAGGATATGAACCCTAGATAATGTATGTTAGAGGCTTGGATAGTTTGGAGTTACCATCATGGCTTATTCACACCAAAGTATTGACGCTGTCCTCTTTCTTTTATTCACAGGCTCAGTAGACGAAGGCGTTACCGAGGGACTGCCTACACTTCAAAGCACCTCTGGCACTAATGCTCATGCAGATGATGATGATCGGTTAGTACAACGGAGCAAGTAGTTCTCTTATAAGGGTTAGGCTTACACTCAATTCAAGCATTTTATCTCAGAATTGTGTAAGAACTTAGCATCATCACATTATAAGTGAGAGCCCCTATCTAAGCCTTCATTGGCACTTCCAAAACCATCTAGTCATTGCTTTAAATAGTATATGTATAAAGAGTTGGCAAACTATGGGCTAGAAGCCAGTTCTAGCCACTACCTTTGTAAATCAAGTATGATTGGAACATAGCCACACTCATTTATTTACGTACTGTTTGTGGGTACAGACTTGAATAGTTGAAACAGAGACTGTGTGGTGTGCAAAGCCAAAATATTTACTCTCTGGCCTGTTACAAAACAAAATTTGCCTAATTCTGATATATACACACCCGTAATTTACAAGCTATCTTCACATTGATCCTTTCTGCTTGATGTTTCCGTACATACGTATGAAAGCATTTCACATTTAACAAGGCTGAGACAGAACTCTTGATTTCTAACTGCCTGTCTCAATCCTGTTCTTCTGATCTTTCTCCCATTTTAGTAAGCAGCAGCAGCATCCTCAAATTTCTCAAGCAATCTCTCTTGAGAATTAATCTTTTTTTCCTTTATCACTCTCCATTCTTCCTCCTTATATTTAATCCTTAAGCGAATCTTGTCAACTCTACCTATGGATTATATCCCTAATCAGCCTATTTTTCCTGTCTGTACGTGTACTACAGCCACCCTTGTCTAAATCACAACCAAATTTTGACTTGACTACTGCAATAGCTTTCAAACTGGTCCCTCATTTCATTCTTCGGCTCCTCTAGTCCATTTTCCACATAACAACTAGAATCATCTTCTTTCTCTTTTAATTAAGTCAGATTATGTTACTTTTAAGTTATAGATTCTTTACATTCTCCATTCATACCTAAAATCTACACTCCTTACTATATCTTTTGGTTTTTTGTGGTTTTTTTTGAGATAGATCACTTTTGAGCTAGAGTGCCATGGCTTCAGCTTAGCTCATAGCAACCTCAATCTCCTGGGCTTAAGCGATCCTCCTGCCTCAGCCTCCCAAGTAGCTGGGACTACAGGCATGCACCACCATGCCTGGCTAATTTATATATTTATATGTTGGCCAATTAATTTCTTTCTATTTATAGTAGAGACAGGGTCTCGATCTTGCTCAGGCTGGTTTTGAACTCCTGACCTTGAGTAATCCACCTGCTTCGGCCTCCCAGAGTGCTAGGATTACAAGTGTGAGCCACCGCACCCGGCCTTTTGGTATATCTTTTAAAACCCTACATGATACAACTTCTGCCTAACTCCCTTTAGACCATTCTCCATCCTGTGTACTACTTTCTAGCCACATTGACCTTTCGGTTCCTGGAATAGCCATGACCACCAGTCTCAAGCAGCACCCAATCACTATTGCATCCTCCTAATTTAATCCTCTGCTCTGATAATTATTTGTCTCTCATCACTGAATATAGGTTCCACCAAATAACTGAATTCCTCCTCATAGAGAGTCCAAGACAATCTTAAAAACCATACTTGTTCAAAACTTGAAGGATTAAAGACATTCAAGCAAGTTTTCTTTTTTTTTATTTTGCAGGGGAGACTTGGTCTCTCCTGTCTCCCAGGCGATCCTCCTGCCTCAGCCTCCTGAGTAGTTGGGGCTACAGGTGTGTACCACCATGCCTGGCTAATTTTTCTGATTTTTGTGGAGATGGGGGTCTCTTGCTCATGTTTGTCTCAAACTCCTGGCCTCAAGCAATCCTCCTGCGTTGGCCTCCCAAAGTGCTAGGATTAAAGGCGTGAGCCACCACGCCCAACCTTTTTTTCTTTAATGGTTAAATTAAACCTGGTAGAGGAGGTTATGAAGCAGAATTACTTGAATAAGTTACTGAAAGTATAACAAGCAGAAATGTGCCTAGGTTCCTTAATTTCAAGTATTAATCAGGTCATGTGTTCTATATTAGATACTGTGCTGAGTAGTGGTGATATAGAGATGAAATGTGTGGTCCTTTTCCCTCAGGGAGCCAAATCAATTTTGAGGGAAGGAGAGGGGTTGAAGATAGACAAGTAACCAGGTAATAAGTCATTTGCAGAGAGTTCTGTTGCTCTGCATAGGAAGGTGCCTACCTGAGTCACTGATAAATCAAAGAAAGCTTCCTGGAGGAGCACGTGACTTTTTAGCTACATTTTGTAAAATTTGTGGCATTTGATACAGGGCAGCAGTCCCCAACCATTTTGGCACTGGGGACTGGTTTCATGGAAGACAATTTTTCCATGGATCCGGCTGGGGCGGGCGGGGAGCAGAGCTCAGGCAATGCTCAGCCCAGTTCCTAACAGACCGTGGACTGGTACCCAGACCTTGGCCTGATGGTTGGGGACTGCAGATAGAGGGTATATTTGGGGAGTATGACAAGAAATGAGGCTGGAAAGGTACACAGAGCTCAGATCATGAGGAGTCTTGTATCCCTACCATTTAGACTTTATTCCGAAGATAATGTCCATCGCAGGGTTTTAGACCCGGGACTGATATAATCGGAGAGATCACTGTAATACAGTGTGAGAAGGGTAGATTAGAGAGTGTGGAGCTAAAAGGAGAGCACTATTAATTCAGGCTTATATTAATGAGGCCTAAATTAAAGGAGTAGTTGGAAGTAAAGAATTAGTGAAATTGAGGATATCTAAGGTAAGATAGTTTATGAAATGTTCTATGGTTGTATGTCCATGCTAAATTTAAGATGCTAGACATGTTGGACAATAACATTATTCTTCATATTGTTATAAATAAAACTTGTAATCTAACAGTTAAACCATTTCAAAAAGTCTTTAAGTTTTTTTATCTCCTGTTTCTTTAACATTTATCTACTGAAATGTTTATTTAACTTAAAAATCAGAGCCTGGTTGCCTTCTGTGATCTGTTTTTTTTTAGATTGGAAAATGTTCAGTATCCCTACCAACTCTACATTGCTCCTTCTACCAGCAGTACAGAACGACCAAGCCCAAATGGTCCAGACAGACCTTTTCAGTGTCCGACCTGTGGGGTGCGATTCACCCGTATTCAGAACCTAAAACAGCACATGCTCATCCACTCAGGTAAAGTCGTCTTTCCTGTTGTTGCATAAATGAGCACTCTAAAACATTTTATTTTGGAATCCCAGTTAAAATAAAAAACAGTTGCTTCTGAGTTAAAAACAAAACAGAACTCTGGGAAGTCAAATGAGAATAGATTAGCTTAGGTCTCTTGGTGAAATGGTGCAGTATCAGAAAACTATTTGCTTAATTCATTTGCCACAGGCATTGAGTATTCTGGTTAAAATGTAGAGGTAATATGTAATGTGTAAGTTTGTATAAAAAGGTATTGGATATATTAGGTGTGTGTATATATGTGAGATAGAGAATCACAAACACAGATGGTAAAAAAATCGAGTTAAAAAAGTATATGTAGCTATTCTTTGTACTGTTCCTGTAATGTCTGTAAGTTTGAAATTATTTCCCAATAAAACTTGTTCTTGAAATTTTAACATTTTATTATTAACTTAATTCTATAATCCTAAATCTGTGTCCTGATAAGTCAGCTCTGTATTTATATATATATATGTATATATGTGTATATATATATATATAAGAGATTTTGGGTAGAAGGGATTTGAAACTAAGTTCAGTGATCACATGAGGTGACAGGATTCTTGTGGGCAAAGCACTGACCTCAGGGGTAAGAGCTCTTTGCTGCTGTTCTTAGCTGTTAGTATCTCATTTCCCCTTGATAAGCTAGGTTTTACAGTCCCTGTCCTAGCACCAATTCATGTGACTTTGATAAATCTACAGATTGTGTTTTGAAGAGTTTTTAAATTTTTCCCCAAAACTGTGATAATAAATTTGGGGAGATGATTAATATACTTTATAATTCACTTACTGATTTGTCAGTATTACATTAAATACTGAAAAAGCCAATCTATGAGAATGATGGTTCTATTACATTCAGAGATGTTAGGATTTTCCTTTTTTTTTTCTTCTCATTTCTCTGTGAGATAGAGAATGGAGAGTAGGTACTGGTTATTTACACATCTTTTCAACATAAATGTCTCTAATGAAATAAAACAATAAATGCTGTCACTTGGGGATTTTAGTTCTGTCCACGTACTGTGGTTAAATTGTATTTTGAAGTTAGCAAAATGAATGATTTAGAAGAGTATTCAAAAAATCAGTTGCAGTATATATTACCTTGTTTGCCTCCCTCCCCCTGCCTCTTTTATATCTTTTCTGTTTTAAGGACTTGAGACTTTTCACATATTCTGTACCTTTTCTGAAATACTTAATTAGAATACATTTTTGCTGGTAGTTTTTATCTTTTCAGATTATCTCTTACTATATAACATTATAGTTCAGAAATCTGTGAGGTTTATGACATTTCCGTTTATTTTGTTTTTAGATGATATTTTGTTTTGCTTTATTTTATAGGAATTAAACCATTTCAGTGTGACCGCTGTGGGAAAAAGTTCACCAGGGCTTACTCGCTAAAGATGCATCGCCTAAAGCATGAAGGTAAACGCTGTTTCCGGTGCCAGATATGTAGTGCCACTTTCACTTCCTTCGGGGAATATAAACACCACATGAGGGTTTCCCGGCACATTATCCGCAAGCCTCGGATTTACGAGTGCAAAACATGTGGCGCCATGTTCACCAACTCTGGAAATTTAATCGTGCACCTGAGGAGTCTGAACCATGAAGCATCAGAGCTAGCAAACTACTTCCAGAGCAGGTGAGGTGCACAACGAAAACCCAACCAGGAAAACTGCTTTCTAAACTCTCTTTTCCTGCTTTCAGGGCAGCCTGCTGTGTTTTTTCATCAGGTTGCCAGCTAGTCAGTCAAATTTGTATTAAATTCCCACTATCCATACTCTGATCTCCTGATCTGATAAAATTTTGCTGAATCTATAAAATTATAAATACTTCATAGTTGGTATTGAAAATGTTTTTCTACAGAAGTAAACTATCCTCTTGATTTTTTTTTTTTAATAATATAAGGTTAAAGTAATCCTATAGTGGATCTTAAATAGATCTTATTGGAAAATTTATCATGTCAGATGATACTTAGTGATGTTACTTCAGACTCTGAATGTTAATAAAATTCTTGACCACTTCTCTCTTTTTTAAAATTTTATGTAAAGGAATATCCATTCACCAATAAGAAAAATTTTACCAGCACCTATAATGGATATGATTGTTTAGATCAAATGAAGTCTTTCCTATTTTGTTTCAGTTTAGAGCTCCATGCTTTTAATATTAATAATTATAATAGAGTTACCTTTCTGATTTATAGGGTATCCAAGGAAATCAGGTTCTAGTTCTAGCTCTGTCACTAACTGCTGCTGTTTGAGCATGTCACTTTACAGATGAAGAAGCTTGAAACTTAGAGAAAAATAAAATGTAAGCTTTATACAAGATGGTTTCTAAGGCCCCCTCTAGATATAAAACTCTATTGTCTATTTTTTTAATACTTTATAAGAATTATACTTCTGTAGGAATCTTTAGTTTCATATAAAATGAAATTTTTCTAAATTCTTACATTTTAAATCACCTTTATTTTTCAATTTATTTTTCTTTTTTTTTTTCAACTACAAATATTTAGGTGCAAATCAAATTTTTTTTAAATTTAAGAGATGGGATCTTGGTATATTGCCCAAGCTGGAGTGCAATGACTATTCATAGGGCACAATCATAGCACACTATGGCCTTGAACTTTGGGCTAAAATGATCCTCCTGCCTCAGCCTCCTAAATAACTAGGACTATAGGTACATGATGGTGCCTGGCTTAAAACCTTCTTTTTAAATAAATTTCAACTTATTCCTGCATATATTTTGTTTTTCCCTTCAAACCAGACATTCATTTGATTTAATGCAATCATTTCTCATTCTGAATATGTGGTTGTCATATCACTAAACCTAGACTATACATACCATAGTCAGCAGTTTGTTCGGGACTGAAATGGTGTTCCAGTTTACCACTCCTGTTGTCTGTATCTTCCCATTACAGAACCCTATAGCCTCCATTCCTCTTGTCTAACACTTGAAGACATTTTAGAAAATATAACATAGGACATTCTAAATTGTATTGCAGATGAACAGATTTTAATTTTTTAATTAATACTGAACAATTCATAAAATAACTGTACATACTGTTATTCAGTGTATTAATTATTGGTTCATTATTAGTATAATGAACTTTTTAGTTCAGTAATAAAGATTTAAATAAAGCATCTAAGACTTATTTCATATGTTTATTGTTTTTTTTTTTGTTTTTTTTTTTGTTTTTTTCAGACAGAGTCTCGCTTTGTTGCCCAGGCTAGAGTGAGTGCCGTGGCGTCAGCCTAGCTCACAGCAACCTCAAACTCCTGGGCTCAAGTGATCCTTCTGCCTCAGCCTCCCGGGTAGCTGGGACTACAGGCATGCGCCACCATGCCCGGCTAATTTTTTTATATATATATCAGTTGGCCAATTAATTTCTTTCTATTTATAGTAGAGACGGGGTCTCGCTCTTGCTCAGGCTGGTTTTGAACTCCTGACCTTGAGCAATCCGCCCGCCTCGGCCTCCCAAGAGCTAGGATTACAGGCGTGAGCCACAGCGCCCGGCCAAATTTGGTATATTTTACTGTCCATGTTCCCTGTGGGGATCAATAATTAAGTTTTTTTTTTTGAGACAGAGTCTCACTTTGTTGCCCAGGCTAGACTGAGTGCCATGGCGTCAGCCTAGCTCACAACGACCTCAAATTCATGGGCTCAAGCAATCCTGCTGCCTCAGCCTCCAGAGTAGCTGGGACTATAGGCATGCGCCACCATGCCCGGCTAATTTTTTCTATATATATTAGTTGGCCTAATTAAGTATTTTTTGAGGATTAACATATAACCAATCTCAGGACATACATTTCCAAATTGTAATTCCAAGGCACTTTATCACTATTCTCATATACCAAATCTAATAGGATGCACATAAATTATTTTCTACGTTTCTTATCTTTATATGCTAGATTATATATATGGTCATTTCTGTTAGTTTCTTAACTAACTTATATCCAGTTAATAATACAAAGCTAGGGTAATAAACCTCTTACTCAGTGTGTAACCAAGAAAAGTTAAGCATTTAAGTTAACTCAGATGATCTTTGCTTAAGTGAGCATGCTGCATTTGTTTTATATATATAAACTCCTCTACATAGAAAAAGAAAGGCTGTCTAGGTGTCCAAAGCTATAGTGAAAGTGATAATCTGATGTAGTGGTAGTAGGGAGAATTGGATACCCTTTGGTTTTAATGGCTTTTGTTCATATTTAGTAAAGTTTATAAGTTGAAAGTTCCTCAGTTTGAACTTAAATTGAAGAATTAGTGAAATGAAAAGTGCCAATCCTGTTTTACAAATCAGAACTTTTTATTGTAACTTATCTATCACTGGTGTGAAAATTAATAATATATTTCATCCTTTGCCTCTTATCTAGTGATTTCCTAGTACCGGACTACTTAAACCAGGAGCAAGAAGAGACCCTTGTTCAGTATGATCTTGGAGAACATGGTTTTGAAAGCAACTCCTCTGTTCAAATGCCTGTAATTTCGCAGGTCTCCTCGACCCAGAATTGCGAAAGCACTTTCCCCCTGGGGTCTCTTGGTGGGCTGGCAGAGAAGGAAGAAGAAGTGCCAGAGCAGCCAAAGACCAGTGGTTGTGCTGAGGCCACCAGAGATGATCCCCCCAAATCAGAGCTGTCTTCTATAACTATTGAGTAATTTTGTGGTTTGGCTTCATTTTTGGTTTTTAGAAAGTGCCTGTGCTTGGTCTTGTACATTTAATTTAAATTTTTAAACAAAAACAAAACAAAAAAAGTTTGGGAAAGAGTTTCCCTTTTTACTTTATAAGCCCTGCAACTGATGTTTTATTTTTCATAACTGAGAGATTGCTTCTGTAAGTACACAGTAACATAACGTTGAAACATAATAGGAATTACGAGACTTAAGGGGAACCAGTTGACTTTAAAACACATACTGGTTTCTTCTTCCATTGTTAAAAGTAGGCTAACAGCAGATCATTAGGTAGAGGAGAAATCAGATGATCATTGACCTTCCTGAGATGAAAGGGCACTCGAGAAACAGATTAAACAGAATTCACAAATGGCCTGGGTAGATATTTACTACTATATACAGGACGTTGTACAATATTTTGTTGAACCTGTTGTTTTTCAAAGTATTTATGGTAAGCTTTCTTAAAAATTATTAGGACAAATACTTCTGAAATATGGCATACTCTTTTAAACTTTGTGATTTCTGTTATGATTTTTAATGGTGAAAATTTGGTACTGAGAGAGGCATCCCCTATACCTTTATAGCACCACTCCAAAGGCCAAGAAGCATGATTGAGAATAGTCAGGCTGTGGATGAAATGACCAGGAATGGAGAATGAAGTATGTAAATCTCAGCTTCATAGGAACCTTTTAAATACTGCTTTTCTGACTAAAATTGATGTTTACCTGGTCTTTGAATGTTAATGCCTGATTCACTATGTCATTGCCCAAGTCAGTTTTCCCCTTACCCCATCACCAGTATGTTTTCTTGCATATACTGGCGTGCTACCATATAAAGGAAAAATATTGGAGATATTCTATATTTTATATATAGGTTTATGTATTGTTGGAGGTGTTTTTATTGTGCTGTTTTGGACAAAATAAATAATTCTCTGTTGAGGCTACATTCTTAACCCAAGTAAGATTGTTTACAAAATTCCATATGACAGCGATACATTGTACTTGTTCCAAAATATTTTTAGACATTGTTAAGTTTATTAAAAGCAGTTACTATAGTTTTTACACAATGTAAGCAATAATGTCAAAGATGAGAAGAAGCTATAAAGTGATCACCTTACAACTCATAAATCTGTTTTGGGAAAATTGCTAAGACTATTGAAAAACTAAAAACCTTAAATTAATGAATATCACCTTTTCTGCTGCTAAAAATATGAAACTTTTTGATTTATAACTTCAGACTTGGGTATACTTTTTATATAGTGCCATTAAAACATCTCTGATCTTGATCTTAAATATTCATGAGTCCATGAATAATAAACTTATGAGAAATTTTTTTTAATGGAGATAGTCAAAGCTTAATAATTATGAAAACACTTGATTGGATTATAAAAGAAAAACAAAATACAGTTCTTTAGTCAAAACACAAGATCTGAATTTGGTTCAATGCTAGACCTTAATATACTTTTTAAATCAAAGTGATTGTTTCCGTTTTAAAAATTGGCTAATTCTGTAGTATCTCCCCCCCCCCCATAAATGTAAAGAAGGGGAAAGTAAACTCATTAGGACATTTTTAGATTAAGGTTCTTCTTGTCTCTGTCCATATTCTGATTTCCTTAACTTATTTCCAAGTCTTTACTCATGCACCTGTTTTTTACCCATTTTTCCCAAACATAGATTTGTTACCGTCTGGAAAATTAGCATGTACAGGTTATGACGGGGCTTCCACCACTTACTGATAGGGTTGAATTATTTTCTGCAACAGACTGTGATACTTAACTACAGTACTGCTGTGTCTCAACTGGAAAGGTCAGGAATTTTTATTTTTAATGTTATATATAGTCTTAGGAAGTATTATGCTTACAAATAAGTAAATTTCAAAATTAGTTTTAAAATCCCATATTGGCAAAACAAAGAATAGGTAAAATTATGACCAGGACTCATTGTTGCCCTTAGTTTCAAGAGGTTTTTTGTTTTTGTTTTTTGGTTTTTTATTTTCTTCTTAAAGAGCAAAATATAATTAAAGAAGGAAAGAAATAGAAGTAAAGAAATGTGTGAGAATTGTTTGCAGATGTATTGGTTGAAAGTGTTTTTAGCACATCCCCTATCTTGAGAACTCTACATTATGAGAGCACTGCACAATTTTGGCAGCTCTAAGGTATTCTGTGTTCTCAAAATGAGGAATTACCCATTACTGGATATTCTTTCCCAAATAGATTGGTATTTACAAATTGCACAGACTTCCAAGTTTTATGGAAAATTTGAATGTACTGTGAAAATGCATATCTGGTTAATAGTCTATTATCCAAATCTTATCAATACAGGTAACCAACCAGTATTTAACATAACATGATACAAACAAAGGCCTTTTTCTGCTTCAGTGAGGCTCTACATTTTCTTGAGATTTAGTTTAAGGATATTTAGTTTATGGGTCTGTTTTAAAAAACAAAGCTACAAGGGATGATTGTATATATAGTAATATTTAGATTTATTTAAAATTCATCTAAGAGAAGGAAGCCTAGATGTATAATTTTTACCAGAACATATGGAAAAATTGCAAAAAGATGAAAGCCAGTTATATTATCCCATCCACTAGAAATTACCAGTATAATTAAACATAAAAATATTCCAGTTTAGAATATTTAAGCATAGATAGCTATCTTTCTTAAGGCCGAAGAGGATAATTTTGTCATATTTAAAGGGCTTAAATTTTAGAATTCACAATAAATTGCCTTTTTAAAAATCAAGCATTTTATACAAGAAAAGATTTTATTTTCAATTTTTTAACTACCAAATAGGTGTGATATACTTTAGAAGTAATCAAAGGTGTTCACTTATGACACTGGATGTTATAATTCCTACAGTTGTTCTTTTCATTTTTAAACTGTATTTTAACAGTGGAAGCATCTAGCATGTAAGTGATTCTAATAATTAAAAAACAAAGGGATTAATATTGGTCGTTATATGTTTGCATTTTAAGTTTTCTATAAATGGATGTAAATGTAGGTTTTTGCCCACAAATATATTTAAATGGATTTTTCTTAATTTGAGTTGCATTTAATCTTTTTATTTCAAGTAATTAGTTACACATTGAGTTACATTGCCAGTTATTTTAAAGTTCTCAACTTCAGTGAGACAAAATATACTAAAATGTTTAAATAGCCTTATTTGGTCTTACATCTCAACATTTTAGTAACTTGGCTTACAGTAATCAGGTTCCATGTGATGACATATGTCCTTTGGTTTTAAAAACAAGCTTCCATTTTGTTAAAATATTTTACCACATGGAATAGACTAGTCTGCACAACTAATGTACTTAATTACTGGTAACTCAGTTACCTTCTAACTACTGAGCCACATTCTCCCAGTTTATAAATGATTCCCTGGGAACCCTCGGAATCTGTATTAAATCTTTCAGTCTTTTATCTCTTCTGATTGTATTCTCTTAATCTAAGTAGAGGCTAATTATCTAGTTTATTGGCTTCTATTTTGAAGATTTTCAGATCATGTTTTAGTCTCTTTTAGTTTTATAGTCCCTGAAAGATACAACACTATATAATGTAATGACAATTCTATAATAGTATACCACATAGAATTACTGTTATTACTTGATGAATGAACAGTCCTAAAATTTTTATATTTTAGCTGAAAGGAGTTTGAGATTTGTGGAACCGATGAACAAGTGAATTAGAAACTTTTATGTGGTACTTACCGTTCCACTCATCTGCAAAATATGAAGTTATAACTGAAATATACGTGCAAGTGAATGAGAATAAATAATTTTCTAGATATTAATTGGGGAAAAAACTAATAAAGTTCACATTTGAAAGAAATAGACTCAAAGTTGACAAAAGATAAGTGTGGTTTTCACTGTAAGTTATTGACATAAGATGCTTTATTTATAATATATTTAAAAAGTTATTGAGAGAAGAATGTTTAAGACTAGATTTGGTTTTTGGAAACAGCAGAACAAAATTGGGGAATGATGAAGCTCTATTGTGGTACATGTGTCTACAAGGAATATTTATAACTAAACATGTTCTCACAGGCTTTACACTGAAATCATGAAAATTTAAATTAACTCATTTCTTATTTTGCCTCTCTCTCTCTCTCTCTCTCTCTCTCTCTCTCTCTCTCTCTCTCTCTCTCTCTCTTTCTTTCTCTCTTTTTTTTAAACAGGATCTCACTGTGTTGTATAGGCTGGTCTCAAACTACTCCTGGGCCCAAGCAGTTCTCCCATCTTAGCCTCCCAAGTAGCTTTTATCTTTTAGTGTCATTTTTGCTTGACACAGGATATGATGACATAGAGTATTTTTATTTGGAAAGTGCTCAGAAAGATGAAGTAGCCAAAAGCAATAATGGCTCAGATTAAACAATGAAGTAAAATTGAACCATTCCCCAGATTCTACCAAGGAATGGTAGATGTGGGTGTTTCACTTTAGATTGTAGATAATGTTGAGATTTATGAGGAATAAAGGCTTTGTCAGTTATGGGATGAGAATTGTAACTGGTATATCCATGGTCATACTTTTTTTACTTTATACTAAATTACTATAGTTGGTATTTCCACTGTATCATAATGATTACATTTTTATGATAAAAAACAGTTCAATGTTTTTTAGTCACTGCAGAGATTTCAGGTTATATTATTGGAATCTCAGTTTGGCAGTATCTTAAAAAACGAGACTGCCTTGAAAGTGTTTGTGCAACTTCTAGCTAAGTAAGCTCCTTCTGTATAGGACCAGGCCAGTTCCAGCTAATACCATGTTCCTATGTATATAATGGTTTACAGGAATTTAAGAGTACCAACCATAGATTAAAAACAAAAACTTCTTAAAATTTTTTTTTGGCCAGGCGTGGTGGCTCACACCTATAATCCTAGCACTCTGAGAGACTGAGGCGAGCAAATCATTCGAGCTTAGGAGTTTGAAACCAGCCTGAGCAAGAGTGAGACCATCTCTACCAAAAATAGAAAAAATTAGCCAGGCATGGTGGCACATGCCTGTAGTCTCAGCTACTCGGGAGGCTGAGGCAGGATCACTTGAGCCCAGGAATTTGAGGTTGCTGTGAACTAGGCTGACACCACCGCACTCTAGCCCGGGCAACAGAGTGAGACTCTGTCTGAAAAAAAAACTTTTTTTTGCCTCAAAAAAAAAATTTTTTTTTAATTTTAAAGTGCCTGGTTTATAAGATCAAATTCTTTATTTATTTCCTTTCTTTTAAATTGACTGATTTGGCTGATTAAGCTCAAAAGTCCTGGGCTCAGTTGTGATAGATTTATTGATAAAATTGTTGCTTAATGGTTCGAGGAGCTACAGTGTCATGACTTATAATCAATTGTCCTTCTTTTCCAAAATGCCAATCTAACTATATCCAGATTTTATTATTCAATCAAGCAAGTTAAAAATCATTGTAAATGAATGTTCAGGTTACCAAAGTACATCACCTGCTGAGGAAGGATAAATCTTCCTGCTTTAAGAGAAGCCTGTGTCTCCTCTTAATATGTGTTGTTTCCCTTGGTGTTAGTGGAAGCTGTGTTCAAGATAGGAAGCCTTTTATGCAGCTCTTAGAAACACCTGCTTTCTAAAGAGAGCCTTTTCTATAATTAAGTTGTGTGTATTTTCTCTAGATTTCTTTTTATTTCAGTTATCAATTTAGTTTTCAAGTTAACAGATGCTATGTAAAGTCTCTCATACTGAGAGTAGTCCATTAAATTCTTGAAAGTTGCACTGCTTTTCATCTTTTCAGGTACCTGAAATGAATGACATCAGGTATTTGGAAGGAGTAAGATCATAAACTTTATTCGTTTTCTTCCTTGTATAAAGTGATGGCTTCTAATACTTATATTTCAAGGTATTTTTTAAAAAAGCAACAGTCCCTAATAGAGTAAAATTTGGTTTCAATGCAAGTTCCCAATAATATATTTAATTTTTCTGTTGTTACTGGTGCCTCTTGCTGCATCAGATAGAGATTGTCTGCCTCTTTGTAGGGCACCCTTGTGGCACCTTATGTGTAATTTGGAGGGTAGTATATGGCTTCTTTCTGCCTCTACTATCTTTTCAAAAGCCATTTTATAAAAATCCTAGGTAGCCTATTTTAATATTTAAATATATATATTTGTGAAAGATACTTTTAAAACAGACTTTTTTTTTTACTTTAAAAAATTCCTGTATTTCCATTTTTAAGAGTAAATTTAAACTTTTCCAGGACTAGGAAGTGTCTTTTTCCAGAGCAGCATAATGAGAAAGTCAGATTGAGTAATAGATCAGAATTCAGTGATAGGAGAAAATGATGTCTGGTTAGGGAGACGAAGGGAAAAGGTTTTGATGTAATAAATGAGTTTTTAAAATTGCGTTTTTGTTTCTGTAATTTCATATTTGCTGCTACAGTAGCTCAATATTTTACAGGGCTAACATAAATCTGGCTCCATTTAAAAACTGGAGTACTTTCTAGGGCGACCAGCCTAGGAGGAAACTGCACCAAGGTCTTCCAGATGGGTGACTGCTTTGTTTAGCTGATGCATGCTTTAATATTTGCCTAGAGCCCAGCAGAAAGGAATTCTGGGGGGAACTTTTTTAACCCTGCCGGTTATGGCATTATGATTCTTTTTGGGCACTGGCATTTTGTGAAACTCTCGAGGGAGGGTAATGCTGGAGAGAAAATGTGCATTAAATTGTGTAGATGGGTGTTTTTATGTCTTCTACCCCTCTCCTAGAACAGTACAGCTCTTAACTGTGCCAGTCCCCAGTTCACCAGCTTTGTATCCAGTCGTCATCTCATTCAAGTATGGCTTTACTTGGTGACAGTGGCCATAGCTAAGTTACTTGGCATGTTTGACTTTCGACAATAACAAAAATGGTTTTGGATTTTGTTTTGTTTTATTTCCTAAAAATGTATACACTGTCAGAACTTCACATTTTATATAATAGTATCTGGCTATTAGTATTTTACAGGAACCATAGTTCTTGGTGACTATATATATATATTTTTGTGACTTTTTTGTAAACTAAGTGCCGTTTCAACGTTACAATCATTTTTAGAGTTATTGTAATCAATGTGAATATCATGTTTTTTCAAATCTGTTCTGAGCCTATAGTGTTTGCTTTGTGAACATATGTGTATTGTATATATTCTGTATAGTTACATTGTACTGAAATATTAGCTTGTTTGATATAAGGAAAGTATGTATTGAGTACCTTTTTGCTAGCCTGATTGTTTAATCTTTTTAAAAAAGGTTTAAACTTTTTTAAAAAAAAAATCTTTAAACTGGCCTTTATTACATGGTCACAAATAAAGTTGCAGTTAGAAGGGATGGGCAGGGAAAAACTAGTTTTGAGTGTCTTTGGATAGAAACATGAGATTAAGATTTGTTTTTGTTTTCTCATTAAAATATCTTAATGCTTTATGGAATAAAACTTCCTGCTGTTGTTATTTATTACTGGCTGGAAGGAAGAATTGGTGGTGGTCTTGACTGAGGTCAAGTGGATGAGAAAAGTCATCAGAATAATTCATTACTTAAGCAAATATCCATTGAATACGCACAAACTAGAGAGTATTACATTAGACAGCACACGTCAGTTTCTTGGTCAAGTAAGAAAAGAGCTATAAGTGCAAAGATTGCACAAACACCATACCCCAAATTGGAAGGAGGAAGCTAGTTGGAAGTCAGTCATCAAATCCTAGAGCTGTTGAACCAGGTTCTGTGTAAAGCTATGTACTGATTGGTTGGTTGCACCTTTAGAAGTTGTGATTTTTTCTGAAGTAATGCTCTACTGACTAGACCCATTGGTACCATTTCAGTGATATCTTACAACCAGGGAGTAAAAAATAGGTACATGGCCAGTGGGAAACAGCTCATCATATAGGTAATACACCTAAAGTCAGGAAGGGCATTCTAACTTTACATTCATCAATGTGGATTTTGACAATACTAGTCAAATACAGTACTTTTCCTTTCCTCCCCTTCTCTCCCCTCCTCTCCCGTATGGGAGAGTATTCTCTTCCCTGTGTCTCCTTTTTCTGTCATCCTCCTCTTCTCCACTTTATTGCCTAGGCTGGTCTCAAGCTATCCTCCCAAGTAGCTAGAACCACAGGCACATACCACTGTGCCCAGCAGTAATACTGGTCTTTAGAATGACAGCAAAGGCAAAGAAAAGTATTTTAGTGGCCCCGAGCTATCGGGGTCCTTTTAGAATTAAGTTCAGAGGAGAAGAGAGTAAATTTTAAGAAGCATTCTCTTCTAGTTGAGTGTGCTGAGCATTTTTAACAGCATTTTACCAAATCATTCAGGGTCATCAAACTGTGTTGATTTTCTCAGTAGCCTCAGCCACAAGATGATATATGTAAGTGTAGAATGTAGCATTTAAAATAATCACATGCTACAATTTGCATGTTTGCATATAAATTATGTACCAGAAAGATTCCTTTTAGAGAATGATACTAAAAGTAATAGCCAAAGATGTGTATCCCCCTCAACTGATAGAGTTGAAATGAATAGTTTTGGCTTTTGCTCTTTTGAATAAGAATGTTTATTCTAAATACACTTATGTGAGAAAGTTAGCAAAATAAAATCTACAAACATAGCAAAAATTTAAAGGGGGAAGACTTGCTTGCAAACATCAAATCCCAAAGTTTAATGTAATTTTTTTATGAGTAAATTTTTATACAGATGAAAAACTGCCTAAGGGCACATTCAGTCTAGAAAGAGGAAGGTCCCTCTTTGGCAAACATTTATAACTAAGGTTTTATTTGGGGATTTTTTGTGTGTGTTGTAGTCCAGAGTGGAGTGCAGCGGCGTGATCATACCT